CCCAAACCCAACCCCAAACCCCAAACCCAAACCCAAACCCAAACCCAAACCCAAACCCAAACCCAAACCCAAACCCAACCCCAAACCCAACCCAAACCCAAACCCAACCCCAAACCCTAGGAGGGTATATAATTGGAATAATCTCCGGAAATTAGCTCGTATTACCCGATTATCAAAGTATCGAGACTCTGTAAGGTCATTGTGTTAACTGTGGCCTATATCGAAATTAGGTATCCATGCTTGTAATGGTGTTCTGGTGAGGAAATGAGTATTATTAAACATTTAAACATTTATTTGTTTAAAGAGTAAATGAAACATATTTTTTTTAAAAAAATTCTAACTATAATTATTTCTCAAATAAAAGAATTTCTAGAAATAACTTTCATTAAATTAAAATTTTCAAAGGATTAATTCTTTAAATAAATTAATAATGATTAAAGTTGAGAATTAATAATTATCAAGATTCCAATAGTTTATTCTCATTTTTATAATAAAATATTAATATCAATATTGAAGAAACAATTCTACTTTAAGCACCATTTCATAAAGTAGTGATGAATAACTTGTAGCTTGAGATTTATGACAGAAATAAATCAGTTTATATATATTTCTTATTTCATTAAATACAACAACTTCGATTAATTAATTAGATCAACAAAATTTTTTTTTTTAATTGTAATATTCTAAACAAAATTGAGTCAATTTTCTTTTTTAATCCTTAGAACTTTACGAAATAGAAGTATTTAAACAGATAATATTTTTTCCCCCCTTTTATAGTTGGATATGAAATTCCATGTTTAGAATTTAGAAGATGAGTTTTTGAACAATTAATAAGTTTTATCCAGAACATATTCAGTAGTATAATTAAAAATTCATGAAATCTTACACGAAAATATATCAATTAATCATCACATAAGTTAAAAAAGAAACCTATATGGAAGTAACAGTTAGAGAAAATTTAGTAAAAGACTAATTTATGATTAGATTTCTATAATTGATGTAAATAAATGAAAAAATTGAGATGGTTAAATAGGTATTAATAATTTGAATTTATTGTTTTGGAGCAAAAGATAAGTTATAATTTCTTATATTTTATAAGAAGATGGAAAAAATATCACCTTTAAAATGTATAACTGGGAAAACAAAAGATATAGCCAGATTAAAATATTAAATTAATAAGTTGGTGTTTATTATATTCTGAATAATAAATAATCAATTATATAATTGAAGGGGAAATACTGATTTTTGAAATGCAACCAAAAATAAGTTCAAAAAATTTTGAGGAATAGATAATTTAGAAAAAATTTCACTTATATATTTTGATTATCAGATGGTTAGGATGATTCAACCTATTCTTATATTAAATCTGAAATTAGTTAATCTTAAGGAAGTATTTAATCTATAAACTTTTGGATTTTGTCAATAAATGATGCAAAAAGATGATGTCATAAGTAATTTTAAAGATGTAATTTTCAAATTAAGTTTAAGAAATAATTTATTGGATGGTTTTTTAAGATACTTTTGGCGAATCATGAAACTATTTGGAATAAAAAAGAAAATAAAATATCTAATGCTGTTACTAGAATAAAAATGTGATACATGAAAAGATTATTTTTCTGATTATTACTCTCTTAAATTAATTATTAAATTAAACACGGTTAAAGAATGATATTAAGTACTTAATTATAATACTTAAATAAACATTCCAGATTATTAAAAATACTCTTCTGAACCACCATTTTTTTAACACTTTGAGACTCTTAGTTTAATTATGCGAATACGCATTAATAAAAGTACTTTCAAACATTAATACTTTTAATATTATTTAATTAAACTAAATTTCCTATACTTTGATATTGTAAAACACTTATTTTAATCATATCTTTTTTTTATTTATTCATTTAAAAAAAAATCTTAATTCATTAATTTTCATTGTATAAGAAAAAATCATTTTTTTTCAAAGTTAAATATATAAACCTTCCTGCATTTTATCTTTAGCTTGAACACATAATTAAACCATACTTTTTGTATTGTTTTTATTGTATTAAAAAGAAAATAATTTTTGTTTAATATGAAACCAAAAACATTTTAGATATAATTTAAGAAATGATTCGATTTTTAATTGATACTTTTAACATGGAAACTTATGATTTTTACCAAACTTAATAACTATTGTTTTTTCTATCAATTTTCTAGGTAAAATTTTTATGAGTCTCATTTTTTTAAAATTAATTGTTAAGATTCCAGTAAAATATTTTTATTATAAAATTAAACTTGTATTTTTAAGAGAGGAAATATATGTCTGGTTATCTAAATATACTGTACAAAACTCCATCACAAATTTTGTGAAATATAATTTGGTAATCAAACAAAATGTAATTTCATGAAAAACAATCGAAACCTACTGAATTATATTTGATAATAGATTTGAGCAATTTTCCAAATTATATAACTTAACTTTGGAGATATACTAACAACTTCCCAAAAACAACAAAAAATAAAATGCTAAATAAAAATGAAATGTTTTATGTTATAAAATCCTGAAATTGTCAAAAAGTGTTCCTGTCTGTAGTGGAAATTAAGAAAAAAGTTTTTTAGTGAAATTTTTAACATTGTATAAAAAATTTTATTTATATAGAAGACTAATAACGGATTACAAATAAAAAAATAGATTCAAAACACTCTTAATTAGAAACTGTCTTATTAATGTACTTAAAAAAAATTAATTTAAAATAAATAAAAATGTACGCAAGATATTTTAAATAATATAGAAAGAATTATAACCATTCTAAAATAGAGAAGGAATACAGTCGAACAATATTCTTAGATTTACTTTAGTAACAAAATAAATAAATTAGTATGAAGTTATAAATAGGTACAAAAACAATTTTAATCATGATTGCTATCAATATTATTAAAACAAATATTCAATTAACATATCTTCTATTCTTATGCTTTTGGATAAAGAGATATGACAGGTTTTAGATTCTATACCTTTCTTAAACTCTATTTATGGTCTTATACAGTTTTCATCGAAAACTATATTTGTTATGTATTTTAATATAGTGAATAATCTATAATTAAAAATTTGAAATGAAACCAATCTGATAAATAAATTAAATGATTTTATATTAAAAGAAATTGATTTGAATAAAATAATAAAAATTATAATATTACCATAAATTAGTTTAAAAATCAATTTCATTATTTTTCAACTATATCTAATCATAATACTTTAAACATCTAAAGTATCTTCTCGAGATTAAACTAAAGTAAAAATAAATACACTATATGATTTCTTAACAATAACCAAAATTTGAATTTAATCTTATAAAGTTAAATATATATTTCTACTTTTCAAGCATATAAAATAAATAATTTTATAAGCAATTTAATTATTTTTTGGAAGTTATATTTACCTTAATGAAAAATTTAATAATTATGATAGGGCAAAAAATTTTTTGAAACTTATAACACTTTTTCTTAAATAATAGGAATATCAAGGAATTTTATAGAAAATAAAGAATAATTGTTTATTCTAATTATCATATTATTTTAATATACTTGGATGTTTGAAAAGTGATGAGTTGAAATTTAAGTCCAAGAATTCTAAATTTGATTTAAGTTGATGAGAAAATAATTTATTGTTACAAAAATATTAACTTACAATTATAACTATTGCTATAGATTCGAAGCTATCGATGAGTTAAAGACTATTGTGTTCTTTATACTTGGAAAATACAAATCCGTTATATATTCATTTTTTGAAGTTTTCAATTATTGAAGAAAAATTATCAAATAAGATTGAAAAAGAAGATGAAATAATAATAATAAATTTTGAAAATATCAAATTATTATAAATGAAATAATACATTTTTAAAATGTACTTGATTTAATAATTAAAAAAATTAGATACTATTTTATTTTTATGGATGGCAAATTTAGAATAATATGGATAATCTCTTTATAGCTTTTATAATGAATTAAATTTAACAAAATAAAGATGAATTCCATATGGAACTATGTACTGAACATATAATTAAAATAAATAGTTGCTGGTATTCAAAAGTTAATAGAATATTAGATTAATTTAATAAGTTTGAATTTATACTAATTGTTAAGAAATACTATTATAGATATAATTAAATGGTAAAAATACTTAAGATTCAGATAGAATGTAGTTATAAATTGTTGAAGGGCTAAATAAATACTTAGTCTATTTAAAAAATGTCTTTAGTTTAATAATCAAAAGAATTTATCTAGTGATATAAAATAAAACTGAAATTAATAAATAAATTAATTAATAAATTGAATTGAATGATTGGTGTAATATTATAATTTTGATTCTTCTCAATCTATTGTCGTGTCTACTGATAATTAAAATATAAAAATATGGAATTTAATTTTAGGAAGAATTACGCTACTACAAACTTTACAAGGTCATAATGATATAATTCAGTATTTAATATATAGGTAAAAGACAAACTCTTTTATTTCAGGGGGTTATGATAAAATATTAATTTTTTGGAGACAAATTGATTTCAATAATTGGATTTATTCAAAATCTTATGAATAACATACAGATGTTGTATTAAACATGATTCTAAATTAATGACGATCTAATATTTTTTTGGAAGCAGAGATAAATCAATCAAAGCCTGGAAAGTTGACTTATCATCACAAAATATTAAATATTGTCCATAATTAGAAACAATTCCAAAAATTAAATATGTGTCACAGTTCAATTAACTAAGTATTTTGAACTTTTCATCTTTCATTTCACTTATTAATAATAATAATTTTGATGTCTTAAAAATATTAAAATCTTTTCTTTATTGTACACTATTGCAAAATTATAATGTTCATTTATTTGATACTTAGATATTAATTAAATTGTCTTTTCTAAATTCTCTTAAATATTCCATCATTTTACTCAAATACATAAACTCTGTTTTTATCTTAATTACCAGGGAACCAAATAAATTAATTCTCTTGAATAAATTAAACTCTGAATCCCTCACTCTATAATATAGATTTCTAGTTGAGTTTATTAAATAATAATATATTATTTACTAAAAATTAATATTTTTTAATAATATTGTTATCCATTATAACAAAATTTTTCAATTCAAACTAATTTACTTAATTATTTCCCTTTAATCATATTACTATGCACAAGATACTAAGATATTGTCTGACTAATTCAAACTTAATGGAATTGCAACGTTATTGTGTTTTTTTAATGAACGAAGATAAACTTAATTAATAATAAAATGAAGGATTTTCTATCGATCAGATATCAATTAAATAAACATAATTATAACAATAGAAAGAATTATATGGAATATTATGCAATGATATTAAATACAATTCTACTCTACTTTTATGCATATAAAATTTGCTTTCTTTTTTGTATTAAATGATTAGTCATTAACCAAAGATTGGTGGTTTTTTTCAGGAGAATAATTTTTTCGTTTAGAACAATTCTTAGTATAATTTTTGTATTTTTATAATTATTTAATGATCCGACCATTTTTATTGTTAAGTATTAATGAAACTTCCAGAAAAATTAAATAACAAAGAAATTATTTTTTCAAAAATAAACTTTGTTAAATTATAATTTACAAACCACATGTAATGATCCTACTGTAAATATTTCACCTCAATATAATCATTAAGTTTACATTTCTTATTTTAAGAAAGAAATATGAAATCAATATAGATTTGAAAATTTATGTAAATCTTTAATTTTAGAATTTATTTTTACATCTTTATTAATTTTCATAATGTATTAATGGATACTTACTTAAATTACATAATTCAAAAAATCAAAAAATAAGCCAAAATTTACAATTTATGGATTAAGCCTCTTCTCAAATAGTAAACATTTTTTAAATGATTATTTATACTTTAAAAATTATGGTTGTAAAATGGTTATAAATTGCTTAATTTAATTTATTATAGATCTCTTTTCTATAAGATTCAATCTCCGAGTTCTCCTATAAAATACATTTTTTCCCTTAATATATATATAATTATCAATGTTATGAATTAATAATTAAAATATTTAAAAAAATTTGTAGATTAGAAATTTCATATAAATTTGTAAAGTTCATACTTTAGTATTGATTGCAGTGGATTTGGATTTATCAGATAAATCACAGATACAATTCTTTTATTGTGAATGCTTAATTGAAAAATAATTAATAAAAATAAGTTGAAAACCATAGAGTAATCAAAAAGGAAGAATCATATAAATTGAGGCCCAATATAGCTGAATTTAAAATGTTTGTTTAATTAAAAATAATATTTTCAATTATTGTTTCCTAATTTATACTTTGATTATTTTTTATTTGAAATAAAAATTTTTATTTCATATTTAGAAGACATTTATAAAAGTTTTACAAATTAATTTTTAAAAGAGAACAAAACTAAATAAAATCAAACTAGACTCAATTATCATAACGATATATTAGAATAAATAATTTTTTGATAAACTAATTCACTTAAATGAGAAGGAACTATAATAAAAAAAGATAAATGAAATTAATAATGAAGTGATTTCTGAATAATTCTTAAATATAGCTAAATCTAAATAATCAAATAAAATAAATAATATCTCCATATAATTATTAAATGATGAATAATAAAAATGATTTAAAATTATTGCAAGAAAAAGAAAAAGTTTCATTAAATTAAAAAGTAACAAATTTATAAAATAAATATTCGATCTTATAATCAATAAGATATTTAATAATCATTATATATTCTCAAGTGCATAAGAGATATTCTTTCTTACTTTATAAATAAATTATAAGAATTTCTAGATTCATAAAAAAGATAAAAAATTTAAAAAAAAATTAGGAATTATTGATATGATTACATAATTTAATGTCTCTGTCAAAAATATTGGCATAAAATAATGAAATATAAGTTGATATTTCCCAATTTATTTTGATTCCCTAATTCAAATAATTGAAAGATTATAATAACTTAGACAGTATTTCAAAAAAAAAAAGATACTTTTATGCTTAGATTTGAATGGTTTAAAAAAACAATAGAAAAATTCACTATGATATGGATTGCTTTATAATACAACTATATTTTCAAAAATCAAATAATTTTGGAAAACATATCTCTATTATTTTCCTGTCTTTTTAGTAACACTTCAAATTGATCATCAAGAATAATCTCTAATGCAAACGTTTTTATTGATTTGCAATAATGTTATCATCTTATTTATTTCTTTTTATTTATAACCCAAATTTTGAAGATTAAGTATTTTATTTTTTATGAAGTTTTCAACTTTTTCACCTGAAGTAGATTTAGAAAATTACAATTACTCCTATAATTTTGGCTTCATTTATATTCATATCATTGAAATATAGAAAACACAAAGATATCATTCATATAAGAATTTTTCTATAAAGTTGAGTCACTGTCACAAAGAAGAGCAGATATTCTGTAAGGATGTGATCATATTAAAGTTAGGTAGCTAATTGTTTTTATTAGCGAATCATTAATTGATTTTTATAAAACCTATCTCCTCACTTTTGGTTTCTTTAAGAATATGCATCCAATCGAATACAAAAAATTATATTTTAATTTTATGAAGGTATATTTAATAATTCACATTGTATGCGGAATCATTACATATGATTCCAATACGATTACTAATTTTGCTTATTAGTATAGTGGAGGAAGTAAATGCATTTCACCTTAACAACGATAAAAAACAGTCTATTTTTCTGACATATTTGCAAGACCTCCAAAAATAATTTTATAAACTCAAATGTTCGACTTAGAACATCCATATCTAAATTTCACCCTTCAGATTATGACTGTTACAACAGATTGTATTATTTATCAAAGTATTAGATTTTATACTGCATTAAAAATGCGATTATTCAGTAGTCCATGGTATTGTAATTAGATGGTAAGCAATGGATGATGAAAGAATTTAAGTTATAAATGAGTTTAACATGATATCATTATAGAATAAAACTTATTCTCACAACAACCCTAATGTCGAAGAGGCGATTATCTCTTTGATTAATTTATCCTATAAGGGTTCTATTAAGTTCAATATCGAGGTATTTATTAAGAGATATCTACTTAGATCGCTGAATTAACGACAAAAAATGTATCTGTTGTAATAACAAATCCAAACGATGGCTTAAAAAATCTGCTTGTTTTGGGTTATTAAGTAATTTTAGGAGTCAAAGAAGCTATTTCACATTTTAGTTCCATCTATACAACTGCTGCCTATACAAGTCCTCATTATAATTTTAAAGATTCTTCTTGGTTAATTACACCTTTCATTGGATTTTCTTATGATGTAACAGCTAACATTAGACTAAATTTAACTCATTATACAGATCAATAGGCAATATGGTATCAGCTTAATTCATTTGTAGGTACAATTGATTCATATGATTTTAGCTGGGACTCATTGGCAGTATTATACTCCACAAAGCCATTAGCCAGCATGGCTCAAGTATTCATTTACAACCATATACAC